TCTTGATTATTGCAAAACTCACCTAAAAACATGTGATGCTTGCAGTAGAGCTAATGAATTTTATTTTCGCGCATTCCAGAAGTACACATAAATTATCTCATCAGGAGAGCTTTCATGTGCCAGCTATCAAATGTATGGTTTGACAATGATAGTTTACGAAGTTTGCTTGCCTCTTACGTGTACTGTTTAACACTCAGTAACACCTTTCACTCGATCTTTCCCTCGATAGCAAGCGTGAAGGTAGCCTTCAAGCACATTATACTTTGAACCGAATAGAATAAATATTCGAGTATTCGAATAAAGCATCTGAATAAAATTTATTCGAAATTTGATTATTCGAAAGTTTCAGAATCTCGAATATACTCCATACTCGCTTATTCTAAATTTGTTAATTTTGAATTTATTCGATTGTTGGTCATTCCAAAATTTTTATTTTTGAATACATTCGAACATTCGAATATCTACTCTCAATTGATATTCCGTTATTCGACAATTTCGAGTAATCGAATAACTACATGACTGCGTCACGTTTTTGATCACTGTATCAGCCAACCATATCGTTTCTTGTTCAAGCTGCCCTCTACTTGAGTCCTTCACTGTGCTAATTTTTGATCAAAATTTGTTTGAATATCCGACTTGATGCAAATATTCGATTATTAGAATTTTCCACTCGAATGTATTCGGCTACGAAAATATTCGATATTCGATTATTCGGCATTTTTAGTTTTCGAAAATATTCGATATTCGATATTCGACATTTTTTGTTCGTGAAAATATTTGAGAATCAATCGATATTTTTAATTTTCGAACATGATCGATTACACAAAAAATTATATCAATGTATAAAGCGCATACAATTAGGTAAGATCACCATTTTCTGAAAATTTTCTGCCAAAATTCAATCCGCGTAAACCGATTTAGCTCTCAAAGCAGACTGCTTATTACAGTAGTGCCTATCATAGAAAGATAGAAATAATGCATCAGATTTTCCACCGTTTTTCTAAAACCTTCTAAGGTAGTAGTTTGTCGTACCGCAGTTAAAATACGCTTGAGGTGTTTAAAGCTTCCGAAGTAAGCTTACAGTAGTAATAAGAGCTCGATGATTAAGTTTAGCGGTGATTTTGAGATTGTTTTTGTGTTTTGATAAGCTTAAACATCGAGTCGAACTATTTCCAATACTGGGTGTATATCTTCGGAAAAACCTGTGAGCAAGGTAAAAATAATAATAGTAGTTAAAATAACAATACTAGTGATAATTGTAATAATAGCAGAAATGAACCAATATTAATAATGTGACGTTATTAAAAAAATGATAGCAATGATAGCTGTATAATTATTATGCCGATAGAAAAATTCTCACGGACTCCAATAATGTCAAGCATAATGAATATTATAATGAATATTGGAACCCAATAATACAAATTTCAGTCTTATTACAGAATTGATGTTGCATTAATTAGAATAATAAGTGCATTCTCTCAAATCACATATAAGGCATGATATTCTCTGAAGAAATATTTTTCAAAAAGTGTTATTTTTAGCAGTCATTCATTTTATAGAGTCTTGCAAATATGCACACTCTTTATTTTACCAAGTGTCCTTTTTTTTCAGTGGTTACAAAGTTCACAAATTAGTCCAATTTTCTTGTATCATTTCAAACTAGAATGATTTTGTATTTGGTAGTTCTAACCCAACACCCCTCAAATTGGATCACTAGCTACAAGTTGCTTTATGTAACTTGCTTTTTGTCTGGTTGCGAACCTGACAAGGGAAGTTCACTTATTCGAAGTGACGATTTGGAAGAAGATCTATGCAAGTGTATAGAGCTCAAAAAGCTGACAGATGTACCTTCTATATCTGCGATGCGTCTTTCTGAAAATAGTTGTGCTTTTCTAAAGCCAAATTTTCGTGCATTCTGAGTCGCAAAATCATGATAATCGCTACAAAAAAGTGTGCAAGCTTGAGCAAACCACCTAGTAAGCATTGTAGGTCTAAATCGAGTTCATTCGGACGCTTTCGAGTGTTTTTCGACCATGTTGTTCATCCACAGGTCGTCATTTCATTCCTAGATCACACTTCCATCATGTAGACAAAAAAGCCCCATAACCTCCATCTAGAAAAACGCGTCGCGTCGGAAACATTTTGGAAACTACCAATGGATAAAACGTAAAACGATGTTCTCAAATATATCTTCAATATCTGCGACGCGTTCTTCTAGATGGAGGTTGTGGGCTTTTTTGTATACACAATGGAAGTGTGATGTAGGAAGGAAATGACGGCCTATGAATAAACAACATGGTCGGAAAACGCTCGAAAACGTTTGGTTGAACTCGAATTAGACCTACAATGCTTACGAGGTGGTTTGCTTAAGCTTGCACACTTTTCTGTAACGATTATTATGATTTTGCGACTCAAAATGCACGAAAATTTGGCTTTGGAAGAGCTCATAACTTTTTTCAGAACAACGCATCGGAGATATAGAAGGTATGTCTGAGATCAGCTTTTTAAGCTCTATCCACTGGTTTAGATGTCATTCCGAATCGCCACTCCGATTGAGTGAACTTCCCTTGTGAGTCAGTTAGAAGCCTTGTTTAGCTCGTGTCCTTCTCCACACGGAGCAGGCGGATACCCCTTTATTTATATGCAGCATTTCATAGCTCTAGCTTATAACATTCTTGCAGAAAGATTGCATGTGGTTCCTTGTTCTATCAAGCAGGATCCAAACAAAAATTTGCTTAACATTCCTGCAATTTGCGTCAATGATACGGGCTTGTATGAATGTTAAAATGCAGTTTACTATTATCTCATTTGTGTGAATTTACTTGTAGGCAGAATTCGCATATTCTGCTTCATGGTATGCATCCGAAATTTGTGCAGGCACTAATGAAATTGTGGTCACATAATGCATCTGATGAAAACAATTCTGCTGTTTATCTTTATATCATAACATATGGTGATAAAACAAGAACAGCAAAATATAGTTTGTATGAGAAGGAAGTTAGAAAGTTTTGCTCTGATTGCAATATATGGTAGAAAAAACAGGAATGAACAAAGAGAAAAGAAATGAACGAAGGGGGTGTGCGTTCGATTGAGGTATTGCAATGAGTGTGACTCTTCATGTTATCATCTGAGTTTGGAAAGAAGTTGACGCTGACATTGAGAAACGTAGGTGTCCGTACACCTGTCATAAAATGAAGAAATGTTTTGGAAGAAAATTATTATCAATGTTTAGACTGGAGAACAACATGAAGCATTACGAGAATTTTCAAGATTTGCAATTTTGTTGTATTCCTTTGCAAATACTGCTTATCTATTAGGTTGGCTAATTGCTTTCGTCTTGACATGCAACTTCGAAGCTCCATAACAATTTAAGTAACTGTTTAGCTATGACTTTTTTTGTGATTAGGTAGCTTCAAACCTCTACTATCACGTACTCATTACATCGAATTTTCTATCGCGACACTAAATAGCTATGATCTTACATAGCTAAACTTCCTAAAAAATCACTATTAAAATTCGCAAGACCCGTTCTCAAGCTGTAGTAAGTGCGCAGATGAGAAAGTGGTTTTTTGGATACAAATAACCTTTGGCTAGATGGCGAATCACAATCTGGTATAGCCAAAAATGTGATTCTAGGGGTTTGGGCGCGGAGGTCAATCTCTGGGTAGTCCAGAACTTGAATTTGACCATTTGGCCATAAAAATGGTCAGAAATATTGAAATCGTATGTGTGCATATCATTCGTGCACTTTAAATCCAGTTTTAGTTTACTGCTGGAGCACGGTCATTTTTAACGGTTTTTCAGAATTTTGGAGAAAAAATCTGACTTTTTTTACTTCCCTGCACCATTTTGACATGAAAAAATAATTTTTGAGAAACCGAGCTGACCATCTGGTCCTCATTGACTCATTCTTTCCAATGATACCAAATGTTTATACAAGAATGTACCTATCTTATACAAACCGTTAAAAATGACCGAAATTGTTTTTTAGCCAACCTATGTAGTAGCAAAATAGATGGTTACATATGTTCGCATCGAAGAAAATAAAACAAACTGAGCGCACACTGAAAAAATGTGTGCAATATAGAGCATATCGAAGCTAAGAATTCTCTTATAAATTCATGCCTTACTTTGTGAGCACTGATCAGAATTGTCGTCATATACTAAGGTTAGTAGATTATCTATTACAGCATTAGCTACGCGGAGTCACAACTGACAAACACCATTTCTGCGGTCCGAAGAGCAAATCTCTATTTTTTCCTCAATGCGTTGGCTTCGGATTTAATTTAATTCCTCTTCAAAACGGTGGTGACACTGCTTAATAACTGGACATACGTTATTCAATCTAAAAGTTCTCTTCTAGAATAGGCATTGTCATTTGCGACATAAAAAATGGTCGTGTTAGCTACAGAAGTGGCAGATATTTTTTTTAAACTGACAAACATCAGCAGTAGGAAATTCTGGAATGGTAAAGCAATATATGAGAAACAGTTGTTGTGAGCCAAATAATCATAACGATGATTTTGTAATAGTCGTACTGATTACATTTCTAATGGCTAGACATGAGCGCATAAATTGACACTCACTTTCTGATCATTATAAGCAGAAACTAATCCGTGGCAAATTTTAGATATCTTAGTTTCTATTTCTTATAACACACTTATTCCAGTAGGTTTACTGAGCAGGTAATGACGTGCTTCGAACTAAATTGCTCTTACTGCCCTCTTTAACAAAATTAGCTTTACACTGATTTTAACATGAATTTGACAAGCATTGCCTTTGTGTCATGGCGGTGACAATTCTTCTTGTTTCAAAACATGTGACTAGGTCTAGTAGCAGCTGAAATGTTTATTCAGCCATTTCCTTCAGATACATGAGGACAATGACATTTCTATGTACAATCTCCATAATTCTCTTCATTTCCTGAATTTGAGTACCTGTCTGCTTGTCATTCAACACTCTGCACCCCTGAGTCTTCCAAACACGATCCTCATTTTCAGATAATCTCAACAACCATGAATTCTACTAGAGAAGAAATTTGTGCTGCTGCAGTAAGAATTTATGCTCGGATGTCATTTATTCATCTATCCCTCATATTTCGACTAATTTCGACACCGTTATGTTGTCTCGGAATCACACTTCTCACCATTGCGGTCTATCGAACAAAGGCTCTCCATTACAATGCTCGACTGCTCATTCTATGCATGACAGTTTCATCGTTGGTCTGCAATTTAGTTGAGTTTCTATGTGCAGAGTTGTTTACTAATATTTTTCGCTTTACTTGAATAGTTGAGACGGAGCAGTGCATTGCGAGTTCGTTCTCATACTGTTCTTCATTCGAATTACTACACTTAGCCCAGAGTATACAAAGGTACAGTCGCTTCATTTCATATGATCATGTGTGCCATTGCAGACATAGTCCACTTTAGCGTCCTCATCCTGGATTTGCAATCGCAAAAACGCAAGAGACTTACCGGTTGTTATCGATTACATCAATATCGGGTGACTAGTAACTAAAAAGGAAAGAAAATGTTAAGAACACCTTGGAAACACTTACCTGAAGGCTTGTTTCTCCCACGAATCCAGGATGGGGACGCCAAAGGTGAATTGTGTGTGCAATGACGCACATGATCATATGAAATGAAGCGACTGTAGCTAGTGCTCTCCTGTTTGGACTGCAAAAAACGGTTCAAATATTTATAATACATGCAATTTTTTTTATACTGTCGAGACCCATTTAGTCCTACATACTAGGGCCAATGGACATGGGATTCGTTATCATTAAAGGCTGACACAGATATCCCCTCCACCTGTACCTCCTAAATACAAGGTACTAGCGGATATAATATGACATATAAGACAAATCCGCGATAACTTCCATTATTCTTGACACAAACCGTAGGAAAGTCCAGAATAGTCACATAATATCGCAAATTTCGATCACAAATTCCTCAATATTTATATCTAATCACTTCAAGACCATATATTATTCTTACCTCACAATCTTCTTCACCTATGTAACGGTGACGGTCCGAGGAATTCTTTCGGGGAAGGGGTGCGCGACAGAAATTATCCGTTAAAGGGGCACGGCGTTAGCAACGCCTTTCGGCAAAAATTCTAAGGATACCTTCCGAAATTTTACGAACACATTGCTTCCGCCCCCCTCCCTTACCAGAAAAAAATTTTGCATGGCTACTTTGAAACTTTAAAAATTTTTGAAAAGTTATAAACAAGCGAAAATAATTCACTTTTGCAATTTTATCACTCTGAAGCTACTTTGAAGATTTTCGCTACCATTCGAAAATTTTTTAGGAAGGGGGGGGGGGGCTAGTGTATCCTCACAGAAACTTTGCTGAAAGATAATGGTTTGCCTATCAGCAAGCCGCTGCAAAGAATGGATACGTCATTTTAGATAGGATTCTGTCTAGACATTTTGCCAAAGTGTATCTCCGCTTGTTTGATTACTCAAACGTGTTAGATGAAAGGGTGAAAGCACACATTTCTCTTCACAAGGCACTCAGAAAACTGTGCTGACTGTTTGATGGTCTGATTCTAATTCCAGCTTCTTTCGCAGGCTAAATTCCGGATCTTGGTTTCACTTAGATTTCTGTAAAAAATGGAACATAGATCGCTTTTCAGCACTGTCGAATTAACCTCAAACCCGTTGTGAGAAGGAAAGTCAGTAACCATCAAACATTTGGTACTGTGTATCAAGCTCTGCTATAACACTTTATGACGATTACTGCTCATTAAGGTGCTGGTGATAATTTGCCAAGAAAGTTCTTCGCATTTTTATTTGCTGTACGTACTCAAACGGATTTGAATAGCAGGCCCACAAAAGTTTTTCAGCAAAGCTGCTAAATCTTTCATTGCAGCCCAAAGGCTGCGACCGGGGCGCACAATGAAAACACTTGAAATGTTCTCTGCACCGGTGTCACAGTACAAGAAAGACATTTACGATGACTTATTGATAATGTTGGAAACTCAAATTCTATACTGTGGTTTTTTAGGTGTATTTCTTGATAGCGCGTACAAGCTCTACATATCTTCGCTTCCTGCAGATGCGATTCGTTGTGAATATGAAGTTTATAGGCCACAGTACTATTTCGGTAAGATACACTATATAATTGAACATTAACTTGAATGAATGTAAATTTCAGCTCTGCGAGGTCTTAACGTAGCAGGTGGAGTTAGTTTTGGGCTATCGACGACATTTCTTGCCGTGGAGCGAGTGCTGGCTACAGTATCCTATGCAACTTATGAACAGGTAAGCAAGTAAATCTTCATATTGCAGCCAGTGAACATATAAAATCGAAACCTTTTTATAATTTCCTCAGTACATCTTCTGTACGATTCAGGAAAATATACATATAGTAAGTTTGTGACCATGAACTCTTGTTCTGTCTAGATGCGTTGTCTTTTTTCCACTCGATAGCGTTAGCCTATCACAACATTTATTCTTTTATCAAAGTATAAGGGTGAAGAATTCATGAATTTAACCTATAATGACGAGGGCAAAACAAAAAAAGCATTAGGCCCGATTTCTGGGAATTTTCTTCCAACATCGAAGGCCTCGGCAGTAAAGGTAAACCACGGTATGTTTCTGAAATGTTCCAAACCTGGATCCGTATCGCTATTGCGTGGTAAATAAGCGAAACGTAGTGTTGTGTAGCCTTGTATGCTTGTATAATTTTGAATCAAAGTTTATAAGTTCTGCCCGTATATTATAACTGTCTCGCTCACATGAATCATTCTCAATCTTTCAGAATAATCGACGATGGCTCGGAATCTTGATGGCATCCATACAAGTCAGTTTCATGAGAACAATGGAGTCATTACTGTAGCGTTAAGAGAAATGTTTAGGTCTTGATCAGCTTCTGTGCTGGATTTTCTATTCATCCTCCAGCTCAGTTCTATCCCTATGTGTCTCCTGAAGTAGGCGATTCGAAAAGTTAGTCTTTCAAACGCAAATGGGAACGGTGTACTTGTGCCTCTACAGTGTACTTACCGTAATGTGTCTTGGATTTGCTACAGTATGACGACAATTACAAAGAACATCACACTCATAAGAGCAATAAAGTGTAGCATCGTGAAGCTAGTGTTGCTTGTTAAATGCAGCTTTCGTTAGTGTGGGACCAATGTAAAGTCAAATCCTTGTTACGTGTCGCATGCGCGTAGGTTACGGTAGGTGTACTGTACGGCCACAAGACCGTTGCTTGCTGTGTTTATCATTTGTTTTCCAAAAATATGTTGTTGTTTCAGTGACAAAAATGTTTGGAAACATGTTTTACCTGCTGAACGTAATAGCGCTGTGCGCGTTCACGGTTCTGTACTTTGTAAACAGGAGAAGAAGGGTTAGTCAACTATCAGGAAATTGTTCTGAATATTGTACACCTAATCATAAAAGAGACATTCCAGAGAATTCTCTGCGATTCTCAACTCAGAGTGCTGTCAACCAGATTTCAACTGAAAGAAAATATTGCAACGACACGTCTAATGACACCTATTATGTTTGTTGAAGCGCTCATGTTGACTTCATCTCAACTGGTAGGTGTCTTGCTTTAAAATGTTCTGAATTATGTGGATGCGAATAAAAGAGAAGTTCTGTTGATCAGTCCATCTTTAATTTATTCTGACATGCTTCCCGCCCTCACTGACACCAGGACATTCATATTTGAAGTCATTGAAAGTGCACGGAATAGGCAAGGCAGATCAAAATGGGTTATCAAAAATTAACAACTGGAAAAGGACGCAAATTTTTTTTATCATACTTACTTGTGTCTAGCTTACATTTGAACTTTCTTCTGAATCGTAGGTATACCTGATACCACATACTTTCCCGGTAAATAAAAAGACCTAATAACTAGCTGTCACTTTACTGTATCGGAGCAGATTATAAGCTCAATTTTTGTGTCTAATGTGACACATTTAATTATCCACCGCTCTAATTAAACTTTCCTGAGTATTTTTATCCATATTCTGTTCATGCATTTTCAGCTCTACTACATCTACTTACCCGATCTAGGAGAAGACACGGTCGTTACGAAAACGGTTTTGGAGCAAGTGTCTCAATATGCTCCTTACGCAGAGTATCAAGTGAGTTGTTAGCGTTGACTAAGATTGGTATTGTAAGAGTTTGAAAGTATTGAATACCCCCGGCTATTAGGTAAGTTTCAAAGAGAATATAGTAAATCGGTGTGAGTGAAAAGGAGGACTTTCAAACAGTGAATTCATATATACTTGAAACAGTGGCGGCTCAAAAAAATTCTTCGGGGGAGGAAAAATTTTTTGGATGCAAAGCGAAATAATTTTTTGGCGCCTTTCAAGTTTTTTGCGGCGTACGTGTAACCCTGTGGTTCTGTCAAAAGGGTGCATCGCAGTAACCATGCCGAAACAATTTGTTTTACAACGCTTATCCAAAGTTTTTGCAAAATCTTAAAAAGGGGGGGGGGGGGAATTTTGCCAGTAATCAATGTAAGAACTAGTAAGAAAGTTACTGACCACTTGTTCTCTCGGATCCACCTCACATGGATATTTAGAATCTTTTTTTACTAGCAATACAATAAAAACTCTGAAGCTCTTAAGTTCCTTCCGGTTAGCTGCTTTTTTACTAGTTACTGGTTCCAATCTGCCTGCGTAAAGTTAGTGGCAAAAAACTGAAACCTTGTTGCTTTAGGACAACCTTCTCTCGGCACAATGAAAAAAGCTTCTTTTACTCGCAGTTAGTAAAGCAACCGATTTTTTTCAGATCTCATTAATGCCATTTTTGGGTTTTTTGCTGATCGTACTTCTTCCGTGCTTCCACACACAAATCAAGCGTTCCTTCATCCGAACCTCGCATTTGGGAGTTTGTTGCCCGGAGCGATCCTCTCTTGTGGACGCTGTTACCGTGGACGAAGCTCGAGATTTGTATTTTGCGAAACTGAATGGACAGTGGAGCGAAAATGCGAACAATGCGTGTTGAAATTCATTTCTTTTCTTCCGATCACATTGATTCTCCTTTACGGGATTGACTAGCTTGTCGTTGAGTATAAGATTATTTGATAATTGTGCTTGCCGTGAATTTTTTGAGCTTATCATTGATAGATCTCATAAAACCCTTCCTTTTGTTACGGATGACATATAAATGTTTTACATTCAGTTGTTTTTGAAGGAGTCGATGGCGTTTTGTCCGAACTATGTATCTAACATCAACAAACTTACCGTAAGTGGGCTTCGCACATAGCTGACAATTGTCAGAAATTCCATAGTTACACACTCTCATATAAATTCTTTTGTATTTCAATATACATCAACAATTTCGTAATATCTCTGGTAGAGAAATACTAATCGAGTTATAATGTAGTCAACTTCAATGGCATGAAAAAGATCATTCTAAAACCTACGGATATTAACGGTAGGGCTATCATATTTTCGATGAAATATTAGGTTGCCCCAAAAGTTTTGACGGTCTTTTCAATTTTTTCACCGATCACTGAAACTCACAGAACTCCAAACGATGGGCAACCTAGATACCGTTCAATTCAAATTTTTATCCTCTTTCCTATTGCTATGTTTGCTCTCTGATTCTTGCAGTCCTTGCGATGTTATGGCCATAGATATTTGAGCAGCTTAACAGTAGTCTTCTTTTGATTTTGAAAAATCTTATCCTAACATTTTTAGAGAGCGCTGGTAGCTGCTATGTAAAGCAAACCTTTGGCTACATTACACTAATTTAAGACTATGTAGGTCAAGTTTGTCAATTTTGTAGTAATTATTAATTTAGGGAAAACCGGGCTTTTTGATCACTTTTAGCACATAGGAGTACCGAAAATTGCAAAATGCTGATTCTTCAGAGCAAATCAATTTATCATGCTGCACAAATAATGTTTGATAACAACAAAATTTCAACTCGCAACTTTGGAAGTTTTCATTTTTTTGCTGCAGATATGTGAAATTTTATTCGTCAAAAATGGAGACCTCTGAAGAATAATTTTCTGAAGCTAAAACAGCAGATCAGTAGACTATAAAGACATTGCCGTATAGTCCGAGAATGACTATATTTCTGCCACACTTAATCTTTTCAAAACATTGTAATAAAACTTTTGAAAATCAGCCAAACTTTGAACAAACAGAAATGACGGGTGAAGAATTTTGGTAACAATCAGCTCATAAAAAATTTTGCCTCGAAAATATGACCATATGAAAGAAAAGGAAATTCTGTATTGAATGCATGATGTAACGTAGCTAGGTCTTCGTTGTGCTTGATTTTATAGTAGTTTGAGAAGTCGACAAAACTTTCGCGACAAACTAATATTATCACTTTGAGAAATCAGTGCATTTCTTGTTTTGAAGTCTCAGCTCAGTCGATACAGCGAACCTAGTAAGCATTTCCTAAATTCATGTTCAAAACAGCAAGAAATTTGTGAGAGGGGTGAATCAAACTGCTCCTGGGATACTTGTGAAGCAAGGGCGGTTTGAACTGAATAAAAAGGAAGTGAATTTGTGCCTGCATGACGCTCCAGTAGATTGGAATATTCTATTCCAAAGTATTATATCCAAAGTAATGGAGGCTCTGGTTTGTGCTATTCTAGTTCTCTTTGCAACATCAGGAAATGAAACAGTGTAGAAAGATCCAGTTAATCATTGAACAATCAAGAGGGAAGAAAGTTCTTGTAATTTTAGCTTTTTTCTTTGAATTCTTGCATCTGTCAATGTTCAGCCACAAAGCCTGCGATGCTCAGAGCTGCACTTTCCTGAATGATGCGGTTTGGAATAATTCAAGTTACCTTTTCCACCTCTCTCTTCCTCTTTTAACTGGAAAACCCCACTTATCGATAAATATCGAAAACTAACATCTCTTTCTTCCTCAAGGTCAGCAAACTTTTATTCAGCTTGCTCATCGTATATAAATTAGACAACTTTGAATAATTCGCTCAATGATGAGCAGCAAAAAAGCCTCCAATATCCATTATCTGCGAAAAGCTTAGAGAACGAACTCTATAACAAAGAAATGGAGTGAGATGCGACCAAAGAGAGCATCTAAACCCTTTTACTTATTTGTGCTCCTGTTAGCATTAGTAAATAGCCAGCACTGAATTACTGTTTACCGGATATTTGGGTAGAATGTAATTAGTGTATGACCTCGTAGGGCTTTGGAACTTGTAGCCATGGGAAAATATGAATTCCTCATTAGTCATTGCTATCTGATCTTGAAATCAGATCTTCATAGTGCGTTCAGCAAAATAGGTAAAGCCACTTTTCTATTATAGCAATTTTCCGTGAAGTGCCTTGTTATAAAATCAGGTCAAGAAAAAAAAACGATAGTATTACAATACGAGGGCGCATCACTAATCAAATTTAGGTAATTCACAAATAAATGGCACAATGACGACACTTCAGTCTCAGAATCCAGTCCATGCGATTAGCGTTAGGACATGTGTAGCAAGGAGATGTGATACTAATTAGTAAAGGAAAGGATTCGAGTCGCGTAAGCTGCCAAAAACACGAGCCTACAGCTCACGAAATAACGACGTTTGAACAGGTTTCATTGGAAAAAGATGTACTCGGCGAATTCCCTGCAGATTGGCTTCATAGTTCCTCGTTACGCTCATCCAAAGAAAATGAGGAAACAGTGAAAATTTGCTTAAGGTGAGATTAGTTAGTTTTTGATGTTTTTGGTAGTGTTCGAAGGTTGAAAGGTTCGGGATTCATATCCATCAGCGAAGATCGGACTTGTCGCCAGAATCTTACATGCATACGACGCCTGGGATGGCAAACTTGCATAATAAAGTCACCAGAGCAAAGTAGAGACAAGCAGCCGCTTGCATAGTAAATTCACTAGAAGCACTCAATAGGTGTGACGTCTAAAGAATATCCTTGTCCGGTGCTGGATTGCTGATATCAACAACAGTTTTGGGTTGAACGGGTCCAAGCACATTGTTTGCGGCGCCTTTTGAGCTTTTGATGCAGAAGAAATGCGCATTTTGCTAACCCTTTTCCAGGACAATTTTTCCATCGCACTTTCTTCTTTGGAAAAAAACTTAGCACAATATCAAGCAGCTCTTTTCGTGCTCTATATAATGCTGGTTAAGACAAGCTGTGGTTAAGACGGGCTTCTATTTAGCATCATTCGTTGAAAATCTGCAGAGCTTCACACAACCCCACTCGAATTCAGAATCCCATTGCATGCACTTTTCTGGCTAAAATTCAGGTGCGAACGGATTTATTCTTTCGGAAATTCAGCTACTGTGTGTGATAAGGATTGTCTACATTATGCACACTTTACTATTTTCTTGAAAAGACTTAGACTGAGATTTTGCGCCTTACCATGGGTGGTCGTTTTGGTCATGTGAGCCATATAATTCCTTTGAAAAAGTCAGTCACCAAAGCTTTGCTCATTTCTGTAGGTGTAAGGGTGGGTCTCTCCTGTTGGCGTATTTTGCAAGAATGTCTAGCTGTTCAGCCCACAGAAAATTACAAAGAATACTCCTTATTTTTGGAACTTCGAGGCCTACGAAAAATTGTTGAGAAAAGCGGATAATTTCGAATTCTGGTTTTCTCCTTTTCGCGAACCTTCTTTGTTTGAGCCCTTTTCGACTTCTTTTTGTACTACTGCCTTGCGGCTATAAGAGAGGCCACTTATCATTTATGCTGACAAGTTTTGACAGGAGTTGTGATCAGACGAGGTTTTAGAAAATTTTTTGCTTATCAATCCATATTTTTCTGCCTGTTCGCGTTTTGAGTATAGGTTGACATGCGCTGTGTTGCGAAAGGTTTGCTGTCTCCGATGGTCTTTATCACATTGAAAAATGTAGATTCTTGGAAAATTATAGTACGCCAAATTGAGAACCCGCAAAACGCGTATTATTTCTACACCAGACTAATAACATGGAAACGACAGCATCAACCGCCTTAAAGTTGCAAACGCTATGAATGTTCCCGCTAACTTTTGTCCTTTTTCTTAAAATGAGTGTTTATTGTGCTTTCATACGAATAACGTAGAATTGTGCTAGTCATGCAAATCGCTTGCTATCTTTTGAACGAAGTTGTTACAATGAAGGCAATGAACTGACTGCTCTTTCTTTTCGCATCGGTTTACTTCCGGTAGAAGGCGTAAAACCATATCTGAATAAGTCATCACTTCAATCCTTGGATAAGTTCTATATCGGACGCACGTGATTCTAATTACGGCCGAAGAAGTGGGCGACGTGGGAATACGCGAATAAATGTGGATTTGATTTTTGCTTGCAAAGCTCTCTGTTTTGCAGAAATTGGGTACAAAAAAATGAGCAAATGCGATTAAACGGCTTAATTTTTTGATATATTGAAAAATTCATTGCGCTCATCTATCAAACGGAGGGTTGATTTAGAAAACTTGAAATGTTTTCTTTTGGATTGCAGTTAAAGAGACATAGATCGAGTTTTACTTCTCCAGAAAAATCTTTTGATTTAAATTAATCACAATCATAATAAGTGGTTTTATATGCACTTCCGTCAATGTTACTCTTCGTATCACTCATTACAACTAATTTGTTTATTTTTTAGCCCACAATAAATTTAGAACCAAGGCTCGGCATTTCCTTCTACGCCACTATTCTGCCTATTCAGCCGAGAAAAAGCTTAGTCTCTCGGCTATCCTTTGTTCGCATGGAGAGCAGGCTGGCTCTTATCGGTTTTTTGCAAATGTTATAACACGCACTGTATTGTTCGCATTTCGTTTTCCCCGATGTGAGTTAGTTAGATCGAAATATTACATAAATTATGATGGAATTATATTTCAGAAAGTAAGCTAGTCAAAGAAGTTCGAAACAATTCCATGTTTGAAGGTAATGGTAAAATGATATCCTTGCCTCCGCACTTTATTTGACATTCCGACAAAGTTTACTTTCTGAGGTCATCCAGCGCTCTCATGAAATCAACTTCAAGCAATTTACGTTTTTTCCCCCTTCGAATGGCCAGCAGCTGCAACGATTGCGCTCGAACTCCGAACCCCTTTGTCAGCTGAGTAGCTGGGATCAGAATTCCTGATTTGCAGCAACTAAAGAAAATTGCTTCTATTGGGAGGTCTTAAATTTCCTGCTTCCTTGCCGGAAAAGTTCGATAAAGCCCAGTTTTTGCCCGAATAGTCCTGACTGCTGATTCTGTCATACGCTGTAATGGGAGCAGAGAGTTACGAAAAAAAAACTTGCGGAAGCATCAATCTACACCGGAAATCGCCAGTTTTCCTCGGATAGAATTGAAGCTTGGAGGGTTGTCATTGTGCCGCATATGTAGTGAGACTATTATGAAAAATTCCTATACCTAAATAGAACTCTGAAAATATTCGCGAATTTTTGGGCACTTCAGAATTGCCCCACCGTATGCTGTTGATGTGAGTTTGCGTAATATAATGGCACAACGGAATGTTCACTTCAGCCCTCTCAAATTGTGACCCTTAGGCGTAAAATGCCGTAAATCGTCGTACGACCGCGCCCAAAGTAAATACACATCGTAATTACAGAGCAAATGGCCTGCGTCAGAAAGCGTGAGGTAAGCTGGGCCGAGAGATTCGGTGCCATAGAATGAGCTGCTCTCTGGAACCAAAATCTTTGACGTTCATAAAGGGACCGCAACGCATCTCCGTTGGCATTTCGTGAATGTGGTTAGCGGATTCCGTGAAAGCAAAGTGGTTTGCATCGAGAATATTCAACGCGTTCGGCACTTATGAGCGTATTGAGCGTGTGAACGAAGCGTTTTTGGTCTTCTACGTAGTGCTTACAATGAATTCGTGCAATTCGTGCGCGAGACAATGGATGACTTTGCAATGCACGTGCAGCTCAGATGATGAAACATTAGAGCGCAATAGTTGCTGCAAAATGGCTGTCAAATCAAATCAGCGACGCGTATGCCAAGCAATTGGCCTTAAGAGGTGAAAACCGGGATGAATCGAGGTCCAGCTGCCAGAAACTCGAAGCTGCCATATTCATTTATTATCCGATCTGCACACGGCTAAAGGCAAGAAGCGAAAAAGTCGAAAAGAAAAGTTTTGCATGCCATTCTCGAAGAGGATGAGGCCATACGTCCTATCTAATTTCGTTTGTGCATTCCAATAGAGTAAACTCTCAGCTTATTGCTTTTGGCTATGAGGTACGCAAACGATGTGAGGCTAGCTTGTAGTTCCTCCAAGAAAAGAATTTGACAATGTAACAACTCAAGAAACTCGCCGTTTTTCTGTGCGCTGTTTCGCTTCCCCCCCCCCCCCCCCATTCCGTTGTCCTCGGCTAAGTCGAGTTCCCCCACAAAAGTAACACTGTACTAAAAATCGTACCAATTATAGACCTTGATTGAGGCTTTGCGAAACCTGTTGACAACATCTCTCGAATGCATCGGTAACCAAGTCTTAGCGAGGGTAAAATTTTAGCAAGTGTGACATTAGATCAACGATAAATAAAGTTCTTTGTAGCTAGGGGGGGGGGGATATGTCGTCCTGAGTCCCCGCTCTGGCATTCCGGCGGAAATGATTTCACGCCACGCTCATTGACGTTTGTTAGCCGCAATTATGACAATAGTTTGAGGCGATGAGCAATTGCAAGCATCAGAGTCCAACGGCTGCAAACCATAGCCAGCAGCACGGCCAATCCATCAATTTCACTCGTTCAGTTCTCGCACAAAGTTGATAAAGGAAAAGAACGCGTGTTCACAATCTGCCGACAAGTGGAGCGGCAAATAATGACAAGCGCAATTTTCTCACATCTATCACATTGTTCTTTGTTTTGTTAACACGGCACCGATTCGGCGGAGTTCAAGTGTCGTGACAAATAGCGCCTTTTGGACGAGTTTCCTCACGCGATAGTGTCGAACATATATCAGCCTCTAAATGAATCCCTCTTTTGCCTTTACACTGGACCCATTAGTCGCGATTACCACCTGATTTAATGATAAACTCTTCATCATCGCCTCCGCTCCCTTTCTGCCCTCCATGCTTCCCCTCATATCAGCTCAAGCAATTGGGCTTTTTGCCTCAGTGACGAATCGTTTATGGCAATTACGACAACGATGAGTTATTTCATTCACAAATAACGAGCGGTCTCAAATGGCTGTTAGCGGCTGCCTAGTGCATAGTTGTATGTCCTCCGTAAGCTATCCGGTTGCAAATCATCACGCGACAAAAGTTCAGCCGGTCACAAAACGCTAAAGATGTGGAAACTGATAAGGCCAAGGGAATGGCACGCTCATGGCTAGATTTCCTGGAATGACCGGAGCCATGAATGTGTTTTTAGTTCCACACGAGGAGCTATGTTTTGTAAATAGGAAGAATATTTGGCGCAAGAGATATTTTTAAGGTGTGGGCGTAGTTATCCTGACCAGCATTTAGACCTGCAAATTGTAATTGAAGGGTATAATAATCACTAATCCTCATGATTACTCTGAAAAATATGAAATTCGAGTCACATAGGTGCGAAGCTGTTCGCAGAGAGAAGGTAAATTGCGAGTGCCGTCAAAATCTAGGATATGTTTACCTTACTCTCAAAGAAGTGCTCTCAAATCGTCCGAGGAGTGCATGTTACTAATTGGAAAAGCGCTGCATAATTAGGTTTGTTGGTTTTTGCTGAGGAAAACCTGGCTTGTTATCCACTTTTTATTCAAATAGAGCAAGCCCTCCCCGCAATGTCGTCGCAACGGGATACCGATTGAATCAAGGTCTCCAACGAGCGTCGCTTTCCCGTCCTACACCTTATAAATCCACGAAAAAGCTGGGAACTGATGAATTAGGCGGTGCAATTGATAGGCATGCCTAATGTTACGGCGAACGGGGCGTGGCTAGGGTTCGGGAGGCGTGCCGCCGGCGCTGCGCGAGCAGACAACGGAAAGCCGGCGGCCTGACTGGCCGAGCGCAGGCGCCGTCATCACCACTGCTGATTCGGCCGAGAACTCGTCCCCTCCCTTGAACCCTTACCGGCGACGGTCAGTTCAGCGTCAGCCAGAGTCCGTGAAGCCCCAGCTCGCTTTACTGCTTCTGTCCGCCCCTCACACACTGATGACCTAGTCTCTGATGTCGCAATGGAGCTTTTCAGCTGTTCGAGTACATCTGACCGCTGGCGGTACCCCGGCGGTCTCGCGCGGCACCCACACCCCGAATGTACTGGCCCTGCTTCTGCTACCGGTCCTCTGCCTTGTCGGACTCATCGGCAACGCCATGGTCTGCATTGCGATCGCAACCGACCGCCGTCTTCATAACGTCACCAACTACTTCCTCTTCTCACTTGCACTCGCCGATCTGCTCGTCTGCTTAATTGTAATGCCGTTGAGTATCGTCGTCGAAGTGAAGCACGGTAAATTCTTACTGTATACTAGATCCTCATCTCACTCCCCCTCCTGCTTATCCTTCTCACTCTAAATTGACGAGTCCAAGTGACAAGGAGCTACTTCCTCAATCACATTTACTGAAATCCTCTGCAAGTATTTGCTTTTCTCTCAACTTTTTTTAAGGAAAAAAAGTCTTTTGTAATGTCACGCTCTACACGTTTTACAAGTAATAACCACTATTCAGTCATCGATACATGTCCTTGGGTATTTAGCCGTTATGCTCAATCGAACTAATTCTGCGTCATCATTCACCTCTAATTTTTCTGTTCGTAAAACTTAAGTCCCGCGTTTTTTGAAGAGTATTTTATGAATGCTCACTATTAGTATGAGTGCTAAGAAATAGTTTTTATCCTCTTTGCCTGATTTCTGAAACTTACCAAAGTATATGTTTTATGCTGTTAATATGTTCATGTCCATGACGTTTAGTACGACTCGTCATCTCACTTGAAAAAAGCAGCTCAGCCAATGTTATTCTCGCACCCTCCCTCTACTAACTTCATTTGCTACCAGTTTCCTGGAATTTTGGGAGTGCCTGAAGAAAGCTAAGTAGATCAAGAGCTGAGCAAAAGTCTTTATACTTTTATGAGCATGCTAGCTAGATATGAAAATAATTTTACTTGGGTGAATAATCGTTAGTAGAGTTCACTGATGTGGCACATTTTCAGGAGTCTGGACATGGAACGTGTCGCTGTGTCTGCTCTACGTGTATTCAGATGTATTTCTCTGTAGCGCTAGTATCGTGCACATGTCAGTGATCTCGCTGGATCGGTATCTCGGCATATCGCAACCCCTTCGGACGCGTAACAAGTCCAAAACCATGATCATAGTGAAGATCTCACTCGTGTGGATAATAACACTGATCGTCTCCTGCCCGATAGCAGTGCTCGCCTCGTATGATCACTCAAACATTCTGCAGAACAATTCCTGTATGATATTCAGCCGCCACTATATCATTTACGGCTCAACATTGTTATTTTTGATTCCATTTTGTGTGATGTTCGTCACTTACTTGCGCACAACCACGCTGCTCAACAAGCAGGCGGCGATCCTGAGTCAAAAAGCGAACGATAAGTTGCACGGCAACGGTCTACGGCGCACACTGCCGCACCGTAAACTCGGTCACGTGCGAACGAACTCGTCCTCGACAGCCACGTTCACCAGCAGCACCTTCAAGTCGAGCCTTAACGGCCCGAAGACCAGTACGGTCAGTTACTCGAACGGCTACCATAACTCAATCGTCGAGCTGGAAGCGCAAGCACGTAAGGGGAAAAACTCCGGTGTACTTAACCATAAATCACTCGCTAAACGATCCACCATTAATCGTTGGAAATCGAGAACTTCCAGCTACTTATCGAACATTGCGTTAAGGGTTGGACGACGGAACTCCTTGCAGGTAAGCTCGTTACTGGGCTTTATTTCTCTTATGCCTAATCCACCATTATGTGTTCATGCTTCTCATTTTGCGCTAAGAACGCTAGTTGATTTAGTGTTTGTGAATTGATTGATGAGAAGAAAAAACCCTTGAAACTTCCAGTGAGCTAGGCATAATCAAAGCAAGAAATAAATTTTGGGCAGATTTCTAACAAACCTGTAAACTTTTGGTGTAGGCTTTGTATTTAGATGAGGATCCTTGTTAACAGAATTAATTTTACGTGAGATTCTTACGGACTATTCACATTGCAAAAGATGTCACTTTTCTAGTTTGCCCCTTGTATCGAAATTTTTGGGTACAAGGAAATCTTTAACAGCTGCTGAGTTGTCAGTTCTTTATACCCAAATCCACCCCTCATATACATCTCATCCTATACATGACGTATGATTGCAATCTCGTAAATTGAAAATTCTCCCGAAAAGTACAGAAAAAATTTATGCGAACTTTTTCGTTGGCCGCTCTAACAACTTCCAACAATGAGGTGGTTAATGTTTAATACTGCTGTCGGCCATTCTTTTTGTTCTTAACAAAGCATAGGCCAAGCTTTGTAAACAGTAGTCTGGATTGAAACTGAGTAAATGTTAGGTTTGGTATAAGAAAGTTGCTATTGAGTCTTGGTGTAGATTTCAACGATTTTTCCATTTCTTAGTGATTTTGTAGCGTGGGAGAATTTATCGCCAGCATTCAATCTTCTCACGAACTCTGTGTGGAAGCTTTTTGCACTGCGTTCATGTAATCATCACGATACCTAAACGATTTCTTTGAATGAGTGGATGTATGACTATGTGACGGAAATCTCGGAAAATGTTGCTTGATTACAGGCGGCCAGCCAGGAGCTGGCGAACGAGCACAAGGCGACGCGCGTGCTGGCCGTGGTGTTCATCTGCTTCTTCATCTGCTGGACGCCGTTCTTCGTGGCCAACTTCATCGTCGGCTTTTGTGGCTCGCTGTGCTCGGTGCCGGGCTGGCTCGGCTCCGTATTCCTCTGGCTGGGCTACATCTCCAGCACCGTGAACCCCATCATCTACACCGTGTTCAACAAGCGCTTCCGCCAGGCCTTCGTGCGGATCCTGCGCTGCCAGTGCTGCCATGCCGTGCGCGACCCGTCGTCGTTCTACTCGCGTAACTACACCACCATTGCACCGGACAATTTCACATGGTCGGTCCTCTTCTCGTCTCTCACACCTGACTAGTACACCACCGCAGTAACTGATTCGGGTACAAATTATTTTCTGCGCGCATTCTTTCGCAGCTGAGCTCGGGCGCGACAAGCCACGGACGCGTTTTGCCAGCGCGGGTTATATGATACCTACGAGTTTCACGAACAGCTGCACCTTCCCAGACAGCGCGGGAAAGCACCGCATATCACCTCACATGCGAAGAAAAATCAGCTCATTCTTCATTAGAGACACAGCTCGGCACGTAGATGAATGTAGCGCTTTTTGCAGTTCAAACCACGATCGGGATCGGCAAATGTCCGCAAATTGTCGTGATGACTCGAGTGGTAGCGTACGTCTCGAGAGTGGTCGATGTAGACGGCAGGACAGCTGCATGGATGAAAGCAAAAAGGTTATTCTTCGATTTGTGCACTGTATCTTAAAAATAGCGAGGCAACAGAATGAAAATGAAAGACGAATCTGGCACGTAATTCTGCGTGAAGCTCTATGATTCTTCATATTCGATAACCCAAAAAATACTATCATTATCATTATCACAAAACGAAATTAACACATTTTCTCATCGAGTCTCAAAAAGCTCAAAGTCAAAAAGCTTTCAACTTTTGTAAATGAATTTTGCTCAATTTAACCATCACGTGCTAGCCATATACCCATTCATCTTCCACTCTAATCAATCAAATAATACTAATACTACTATAATAATAATACTACTACGTAACCAATAACAATCTCAATCAATTAATTAAATAATATTCTAACTGTCATAAATGCAGTTACATAAGTGACTTGTATTAAATCCATTAACAGCTTTGGAACAATCTTTCGAAGCTTTTAAGCAACAACAAAAAGCAATTAGCATCTATCACCCTAGTTCAGAAGTAATTTCATTACAGCTGATTTCGTAAGCAATAACAATCTCAAAAGCATCCACTCTTTCGCAGTGGGATTCAAGTACCGTGAGCTTTGAAGGCAAAAAAATGTACGGCCTAATTTTTGTGAGGATTTATTATTTTTATTGTGCGTAACATCTTTATCTAGAAGCATGATGCGAAGGGAAATCCTAGATGCAAAGTCGTAGAATTGACATTTTCTTACCGAAGTTTTTTTCTTACTGAAACTAATGCATTGGCACTCCAAGTTGAACGAACATGGACAGATTAAAAGCACCTTCCTCTATCTCATCACGTACGCAAATTAGATGTTTTTGAAATGATGTAACAAGTAAATTCGCAAAAGCTGGCCGAAAGAGCTCTTCTAGGTGAATTACTTAGGCCGTGTCTCAGATGCTTCTCGGATTTCGATGTAAAACACATCTTAGGCTTCTACATAAGAAAGAAATGCACTTAGGTGAAGGGAAACAACGTAGAACTTGAGCTGCTTGACTGCTAATCTGATTCACGGAATTCAGTGCCCGTTTCTAAATCCGGACAATCGTCTGGAAATAAACTCAGAACACTAGCACGACAACATCTTTTTTTTTCATATTTTTTCGCATATTATGAAAGGGGAATAGCGCTGAGATGTATGACTGTGGATTTAGAAAAAACAAGCATTTGAATACCAAATTTGTTGGCACTAGCATCAATGCACCTTCTTCAACTAAAAACTCTTTCAAATCATGGAAGAATCATAATCAGATGCACTACCGAGAAGATATCCACTGGAACTAGCAGGATTTGTGGAAAAGCGAAATTATCGATATTAGGATTGCTAATGCTATACTATATGCTAAACTTTATTTATTTATATTTATTTATTGCGTAGCTTACGAAAAATCCGACAGCAAAGAACGACATACCAGAACAAAACAATGACAATAAAAATAACGCAAACAATTCTAATGAAATTCTATCGATTGCAGAAAGCTCCTGAACATTTAATTGAAGGAAGATAACTTTGCAACAAAAACTTTGCGTTAAACATCGACATACATATGAAAAATTTCTTCATACTAAGGCAATTAAGTTTGTATCAAAACTAATTATTCGCTATCAATATGTATAGAAAGAAGAACGAAAAATTTTTTTGCATATAATATTTCGCCTGAACCTCGCTCCCACGTGACTCACTGAAATTTTTTCCTTTAATTACATTATTATTGAATTGTTAGGAAACTTCATTCTAAAGATGTTGTGAATGTTCTATTGCAGATATCGCTACCAAATATGCAGCTCACAAGCGAAACGACGCCATTGCGCGACTCGCGAGCGACAACCGAAGAAGCCAGCGACGAAGATGCTTCGAACGAGCAACGTCCATTGCTTCCTCAACCGCGAATCGGGACAATGCGAAGATCGCTCACAGCATTGCTCAACACGTCTACAACGTCCACTTTTACGAAATCCATTTCATGCGCGGAATGCCGTCGTGCGGAAGCGTTCGATCCGTCGGACACCGACGATACGATGACATCGTCGACTACCAGCTGCCCTCGACATTTGACACTTTTCTCGTCCACATTCGGTAAATCAGTCAAAGAGACATTTCTATGAGTGTTCACTATGAGCTATGAGTCATGTTACGAGTTGTTTGTGCTCTTTTCCACCTCGTGAGTTGTCATAACGGTGCATAATGATTAGAATGTGCTGAGTGACTTGGTTCGCTCGATTTGATAATACGTGTATCTCTATATCTGCGGTTGTTCATTGCAATTGATTTATATGTACAGCTCTAATCATGAAAATTTCGAAGATTTGTGCCGTTTCATGTAAAAAGGCGTAAGTCACAACAAGCTACGTCAGTGTGAATAATCTTATCGAAACAGACAAGGTTGTCGGATTCATGCATACACAAAGCATGGGCAAAATCCCGTATGTAAAGGCTTAGAATTTCAGGAAATGTGCATTATTGGCATATTGTTGGGGAACGGAAGCTCACTTATGAGGTTATATATCTATGTGACAGGTCAAGGTTAGTGTACTGATATATGCGAAAACAGAGCTGGTTTGAATTCTTCACAAGGGATTTTGGCAATTTTTGGCGGGAATGCCATTAAAAAAATTGCTGGTCATTTGAAGCAATTTCTCCTCCTTCAAGTCAATTGCACATCCTATGAATTAATATTCCAACAAGTACTTTAAAAAAGGTTTAAGTTGCCATTTCTCCATTCATTCTTCATGAATAAATACCTTGAAAAATAGTCTTACCACTCTGATGTTTTGATCCAGTGTCACTTTTCTTTTGGGATGTATTTGCTCAAGCATTACATGTCAGAAACGAAGGAATAAAAGAAGTAGACTCAGCTGAAATTTGATACAGAACAAGCTCAAAAGAGCATTTTTTCCAGCGATCTTTTTACACATCCTTTCTGAGTTTGAAGCGTATGATTTAATTTTTGCTTTGAATTGTCAGGAATGTTTCCCATGCAAGTAATGAATATTGTTTTCCTGATTTTCTAAAAAGAAGGCAAATCGTAACTAAAATTTACATAACAGTTTATGATTCTTTAGAATTAATTTTTTGAAGGTCCTCCGAAACTTTTTTAATCACAATCCTGTACAGTTTCCTCACAAGAAAAAAATTCTGAAAAATTTGAAAGGTTACTCGAAGAAGGAAGGTTTGAGATCTTGGTAGCATTCGACGCAGCATTTCATCCTTTTTCTAAAGGTTATATAAGCATTGCACAATATTCGATAAGCTCTAAAAAAATTACCAAAATCTGCGACCCAGGTTTTTTGAAAAGATCAAGTTTCACAAATTTTCTATATTTTTACAACAATCCTCCGAAGGAGTCCAAGTAACATGTGGATTGAGCGAACCATATAGGAAACAGCACGTTTTTTTCTACTTTCCATAGCTCGTCATAATTTTTGTATAGATTTTTCAATGAATCCACCAAATTCTAGCAGGTATGTCTCGGACACAATTGCATCAAACACCGATAAATCTTCAGATTTTGAAACCTCGGAAGGTGGATTATGATTTAACAATAACTTTACAACGCAAATGAGCATTTGCCGCTTCAGATTAGCAACTTTCGAAAATTTCGGGTAAGCGTGGGGCGCCTTGGAAAACCTGAATTATGATCATTCTTTATGAATCGAAAACAAAAAACAACTAATAGAAAGAGGAGAAAAAGCTGCGACGAATGACACCCGGGTTGCTTGCTTGTTGTTGTTCTGTGAGGTTCGAGTTGACCAAATACGGAATTTGATAGCATTCAAAAATTGATTCTAAAGACTCTAAGAACCAAGCTAAGGAAAAGAAGAAAAAAGGTTTTGCCCCTGTAGAGTTTGCTCTATCTAAATGTTGCTGTACTTCTTCGGGGAATCAGTAACAAAAATTTAGCAAAATAGCCGAACTTGACCATGGCAAAAAGCATAGGTCGCATATCTTGGTGATTTTTTGGGAGCTCATTGAATATTATGCAACAAAATTACAACCATTGAAAAGAGGATGAAATGCTGCCAGGGCCCGGCGGGGGTGGCGCCTTCACAACCTGGATAACGTTTTTGGCCCGAAAAAGCAAAGGGGAAGTCGTATTTTGGGGTCCGGGGCGGAGCCTCGGACCCCAAAATACGACTTCCTCTTTGTTTACCGATAAACATTGCACATATCATTCTTTATTCATCATTCCTTGTTGATGCTACTGTCCTATGAACTTAGATTCCAGCAATGTGAAGATTCTGTGCTCTGATTGCTAGCCTGCCCGCAGGCGGGAATTCAAATCGCAATTCTCGTAGGAGGAAAATAACAAAATAGGCTTGTTTTCAATGCACAAGTAACGATATGGCACCAAATTTGCTGTATAGTTGGAGGACCATGAGCACAAAAAAAGTATGAAGAATTATGAGAAACTTATGTGAATTTGAAAAATGGTAAGTGTTTTTCGAAATTAGGTGGCTCCCGCGCCACCTGGGAGCCACCTGGGGTGGCTCCCTGCTTCCCTTCACATAATTTCCCGGATTTCTTTACATAAATGTGGACTAGGTCGAGAGTATTACTATATGTTCAAATCCGCTTCCAAAACCACCAAGGCACCGCTTCGATACAGCCCCAAATAGGGTTCACAGCGTTATGATCGGCCTCGGAAAGCGCGCTCCAATCGCAATCGGTTATTGTAAATTGTAAAGTTTCGCAGCTGACTAATAAATGAGTAGTATCTTAGATATATAAACGTCAAAGTTTGTGCAAATCTTGACCCTATGTTTTTTTGTAGATTCCTTTGCGGATGAACCCATTGAGCTGAAACCTTGAAAACATATGTTTTCGGCCTAGGTAGATGGTTTTAAGCTACCCTTCGAAGCAATTCGTGGAATTCTTCTATCGATTTAATGATTTTTGGCACCTTGCAAGGAAAGTGAACACTTACCAGCCGCTAACAAACTGCTTGCACATTTTGGTGTGAACAATGCAGTGAAGTTCATTTCCACTTCAAAATTAGAAGGTGCAGTCACTCCAATAAGCCTTTCTGAGGTAAGCTCGTGCAGGAGTGTAAGTGGGAGGGCTGCAGTGCAGTATTGATACTGCAGAAAAGGGTGGAGAATATGGCCCAAAAGGACGGGAAGGTAGAAGGACAAAGTGTGGCTTTTGGCCATCCCCTCAAACGATGACCCGGGCTGGACCAGGAAAGCCAGGTAGTACTACTATAATAAGCGCTGAGGCCGCCCATCTTATTAATTGTGTATATCTGTTTGTCAGGGACTTACGGGGGTCAAAAATAGGGTCAAAGGGGAAGTTGTAAGAAATTTTGGCTTCAAAGGGGATATCGTTTTCAAAATTCTGAAATGCCACCTCCTGCCGGGCCCTGAATGCTGCATCGACTGCTTCCAAGATCTCTCAAAAATTTCGGTTCCACGAAGTGTGGCGTTCATTTGAAAAAGAGACATTACTTTCAAAACGACCTAATACATATGATTTGCTGGGAATTTGCGACCTACTGCTAAGGTAAATTTGTGATTTCGATTTAGGAGAAATTTTTTTGTTCGAATATCATCGAAACCAAAATTTTCGCTATTCAGTTTTGATTCAGTAAGATCATAACTTCTACAAAATTTTTGCGCAATGCGTAAGTCGGGCGCTATCTGATGGTGTAAAGAGCCAAATCAAAAATATATAAAGTTTGGTAAACTCGAATAGAGAGAACTCAACTATTGCAAATTTTTGCAATAATTTTGGAGCACGGCACACTGTAAGGAGATTGCTCTTCCAAACTTAGAGCCTATAAAGAACGTGATCATTAACCGAAAACTAAATGCCTCTCATAGTATCTTCTGCAAATAGGGTGTCAAATCAGAAATTGTATAGAAATAAAACAAAACCTTTGGAGTGACCCAAGAATATGTCTCGAATTTCACTTGTCACGTTTGAAATCAACTAGACTAAGATGTAGAAAGACTAAATCCCAATAATGAAATGCTTTCACTTTGCTAATTCACGTGCAACTCAAAATGTGAGGTGTTGGACAACCTTCATAGGTCAACAAATTAATTTATTTGCTTTTCCAAGCCAAGAATTTGCTATATTCAAGTTAATAGCTAAAAAACGCTGAGATTGACTACATGAGGCAGCCTAAGTTGTTATGTTTATTAAAAAAGATCCAAAATAGACCGTCAAGCTCCAGGAAATTTATCACGATACCCTTTTGCTCCTTCATATCCAATCAATAATTGGGCAAAAAACGCTCGTTGCTTCTTTGATTTTTGTCACGTACGCATTATCCACTTGGTCACCTTTATTGATCACAACCTCGTAAAGCATGTTGTTTTTTTTCCACATTTTGCGATGCACTGACTTTACAAAATCTATTGTGCTTTACAAAAGGATTTATCCAAGTCAATTTCCCTCTCATCCTTCTATTTCTTACTTGCAAACCACCTTCTTTCCCGTTCTTCTTCTTTTACCAAAAACCCACTTTCACCTAGTAGGAGTCCAACATAAAGATTTTTTGAATTTGTTAGAGCCTTTTCGAATTCTAGAGCAATAATTCGACAATTTTGTTTCGCTATGTATTCTGCTGGTGTAATTACAAATGTGGAATGAGTACTTTCTGCTCTTTCTGTAGTACATACTATTACTAACTGCCTAGATGCTCGGCTGCTGTATTTATGCTCGTTATTTACCAAAAAAAAATTTGTCTTTGCTTTAGATGTATGTGTTCTGAATCCATCTCACGTTGTCCTGAAAGCATATCCGATTTTTTTCGGAGAGTCGCACTCGTTCAACAGAAGCCTTCTCGAATGCACTTTATGCACCTTTTTCCTCTCTTCTTTAATGATCGTGCTGACCATGTTCTTTCAATTTCAGATAATTAACTAATTTTACTAACCACCATTGTTGCTACTCATCGCTAAATTGCAAATTTTCTAATCTAAACTTTTAAAAGATATGTTTGAAGCAATCAGAGCTCTTTCTGACGCAAAATAACTTGTTTTTTTAACTTCGTAACGTGCAATCCAAAACTCCTTTCTTTTTCTTTTTTTTCTGCATACTGGTGGACCAGTAATTAAAGGTGCTAGATTGTACCTGACCTGTTGTACTTTAATGAGAAGGTGAGCAAAAATATACTTCACTAGATCACAGACAAAGACAATGAGGCGGAATTCTAGGTCTGGCTTGACGACTTTGGATCCATTATCTACGGCTCAGAAATTTCTATATCGAGCATCTCGTATTGGCAACAGCTTCAAATCTGCATTGTGAGTTTCATGTTGTAACACATTACGCATTGATCTACTGGGACGTAGTGGTTG